CAGTGTCAATTCATTTTTGAGTTCGTTGTTGTTGGCTACTACATTGAAATTGAGAATCAATAAGGAACTTGTTGGTGGACCTTACACATCGTAAGCTAGGCATATTCAGTCCCACCATTTTGTCCCCTCTCTATTTACATATTATAGAATTATAACTGCAATACTACTGATGAACAATGGAGCAAGACTACTCTCTTTTTTTTTGTCCCTATTTTTGTCCATTCATGTACAAATATGTTGTCCTTCTGAGTTTCATATTTTGATTATGAGCTTAAATCATCCCTAATGAATACATGACAACTTTCTTGTTCCTAAACCAAATCCTAAATAGTTTATTTTCTTACAAATGTGTTTAGTAATGACTTGTAAGTTATGGAGATGTGTGTATCGAGATCACTCTTCCTCCAAATATATTTAGTTATTCAAATAAATGAATATTGGAGATATCATTATAAATAAAATGGTATATATTGAGCAATGCATTGGGATGTCCTAAAATTCATTTATTCTATATACAATATCTCTTTCTTGTAAAGCAAAATAGCAACCATTTTCAGATCATGATGATAGCTTTAATGTATCATGTAATATGTCTTTGCTCAAACTTTTAACTAAGTGAGGTTATAGGCTAAAAACATAGATGAGGTTTTTCCAATCAACGTGGCGATGACACAATGACAATAGTAAAAACCAGTAGACTAAATGTTTTGGTCAGTTATGTGAGATTTTTGGGTGAATATGACGTGCTGTGATTATCTTTGTATTTATCTAAGTAGCTATAATCTATTTCTACATAAATGCTAAAAAGAAGAAGAAAATGCATCAGAATCTTTACGTGTTTAGATCCGACAAAAAATGAGATTGGTATATTAGCTTGAGGGGGATGCATATGTGTTTGTGGTCCATTCAAATCAAACGCAATGCTAAGTATGTGAGGACCATTTCTTGATATATTGTACCTATTATTCCCAATGTTTTCAAACTTTAGGCATTTATTGTGCTTGTATCACCAAATCCTTCTCTTTACTATATAGAGCTTTAGATGATATTTTCTTTCAAGTATTTTGTGTGGCTATGAATTTTTGAAAGTGATATCTACAGTTTTATCAATTTCAAAAGTTTGTTCGACAAATATAGTAATTCAATGTCACATTTTTACCCCAGCTATTAATAGAATTGATAAGACAGTTTAATCTATGATTTTAGGAAAATATATGTATCTCTGACTACACACACTCTCTCTCTCTCTCTTTCCTTTTTATTCAAGAGTCAAGACACACTCTCTTCTTATTCTGTCTTTCTCACTCAAAATTTTAAAAATATAATTATGTGATTGTTTCTTCTTTCTATTTCTAGCTCTCGTGATGTCTATCACATATATATTTAGACTATTGTGGAAATGATTAAAGGTACAAATAGTGTATATAATAATCAGTTGATAGATGTTGGAACAACTTTTTTTTGTAGATGTCACTTCGGTTAGGTACATTTGGAGAGTATGATAGCTAAACCCAAATTCAGAAAGAAAGAAAAAATTACTATATTTTTGACGTCGAAAAAGGAGAAAAAGTATTTTATAGTTATTCTATTCACGCCCTATTAATAATATTCAGTAGACACCAACTTGCGGTCGTCGATGATTGGGCATTATAACAAGTGTTATTTCTTGGTTGAAACATTGTAAAGTTGTAGCATGTCCAATAACTATTCCACAAGCTAAATTTAAAAGGACAATTCTGAAATTGTTAAAACAAAATATTAATTAAACGTTAAATTGATAACATGTTAGCAAGGTGTATATATGTCTTATATATGTATGACTGTGAGTTGTAAAATACAGTATGAACGTTGAGTGAGTTGTAAAATACACTATAGAGACATCCCTATCTGATCAAACTTTTCATTTGTACTATAAATCGAATTCATGATGCACTCGATGTAAACAAGTTTTTTTTTGAATAAAGTTTACATAAACTTAAAAAAAAGTTTATATGAACTAACAATATGAAAATCTGCATGTATAGGAACTATTAACTAACATACGTATGAATATATGTGTTATATGATTGTAGTTGTAAAATACACCATTATAGGGACATCCTTGACAGAGAAAAGCCCAGAATTCATAAACTTTAGAGGCATTGCTCCAAATAAGGTAAAAGTAGTGTTTGTTCGTTTGTGGATATTTTGTTATAAGTCAGATTGAAATGCTAATATATATTTGTTTCATAGAAATTTTGACTGCATTTTCAAATGGGTTCGTTACGATGGATCGAGTTTGATGTTTTTAGTTGATACATAACAAAATAATGATGTGGCAATAAAGATGACTTGAGATGGGTCCTTATATAGATTTTGGATAAAAACACACATTTTAATATGGAAAATATTGGATGGTAAGAGAAAAAGAAGGATAGAAGATTGCACAGATTCCTATCGGTGTAGTCTCATTTGTTTTAGGAAATAAACATCGTGAGACAAATGCAGCTAGGTATAGAGTATCATGCCTTCCTATAAATATCGAAAGACAGTCTCATGAAGCACACATGAGTGTGTGGCATCGTCTCACCATTCAGAGAAGACGTTGGTGTGCCGGTGCTACAGGTGGTACTGTGCTAGTCAAGTATGATGTGCCTGATATCTTGATTCAATATCCGTGTGGAAAAGAATGGTAGGTAGCATGGTTGTGTGTTGAATTCTATATGGATTTGTTTTCGACTAAGTCCAAGAAATTAGGTTGGAGAGCGGAACTTTCGTGAAAATTATGTGTCTTTTTATCACTTACATACTTGTTACGTTCTCTCATCTTTGAATCATGTAGGTCTAGCCAAAATTTAAACTTACAAGCAGGTTTCTTGGCTGAAGAAGGTGGATGAGAGTGGACACACGTTCGTGAATAGTCCAAAACAGATCATGGCAGAGAAGAACACATACTTATAGGTGTGATAGATAAGATCTGTCACGGACACGGATTTGCCGAGGTTCATGAAGGTAATGTTAACAAAGGTTGAAATATGAAGAAGGTGAAGTCTTGTATGGACTACTTTGATGCTTCAGAAGTGAGATCGACGGTTAGCTACATCTATACGAAAGGTTGGATCATGTGTTTTTTGTTAAAAGAATACAATGTAAAATTTATCCATAAAAAACGTTTTTACAATACAACAAACTGAGATTAGAATTGTTTTGATTAGAACTGTTTTGAAAGAATATGAACAGAGGAGAGTCTTCAACTTGGAGGTCGAGTTGCAAACCAAAACGTCAATCTCTGGGAGAAACATTTGTCACCACTCCGAATGATTGAGTATAGACGATTCCTCATTGTCTTTTCAATGAGTTTGATGAGTCTCTGCGATGGTGACAGTTGATTTCCATGCTTCCGTTTATTTCTCTCTCGCTACATAGTCTGTAAAGTTGCCAGAAACAGGTATCAAGTAACAAAAGTTGTCAACTGAAAAGTTGCCTGAAATAGGTATCGATTAACAAAAGTTGTTGAGATGATCTGAACAAGGGTACTCCAATCTGTCGTGAACTGATGTTGGAGAACGCCTTGTGCGATATTCGACCAAAATTATGCACAAAACAACAAGCAAAGAAGAGATGATTGCGAGTTTCCATTGGGTCAGTGGAAATGTTTTGTTGCCAGCAAAGAGTTCGGTCACTGGTGGATAAGCGATCTAACACTGCAAGCCAAGCCATGAAAGAGTATTTTGGTGTGGAATTTGAAAACCAGACACCACAGCTCCATTGTTAAAGAGGTTTAATTAGGGGGTCTGATTTGGTTCCAAGTAGCTTTTGTCGATAACTTCTCTTTAAAAACTCCTCCTTGAACTGCCACAAATGAACATCGTCTTCATACCATCTTATTTGGGCTCATAGTCTGTCAGAGTCATTCTCTTTGTCAACAAGGGTAATCCAAGATATCGAAATCGTAGTTGGTCAACCACAAACCGGAAAAGCAACTCAATTTTTTCTCTGTTTTGCTCTGTAACACCAGCAAGATAGGCAGTAGATTTTTCAAGGCTGTTTTGTAGACTCGAGATCTTTCCGAACTCATCAAAGATTGAGATAATGCCTTCCATAGACCTGATTTTCCCATCCGTGAAAACCATAAGGTTGTCAGCGAAGCATAAGTGAGGAATTAAAATGCTTTTACATTGAAGATGATACCCAAACTTCCTATCAGATTCAGTCTTGTCGAGCATTTTGGATGTTGATTGTGGTTCTCAACTATCTGGGGTCGGTTCGGTAATTCGAGTTCGGAAAATTAAATTGATTGTATTTTATTAAATTTTCAATTACAGTTCGTTCAGTTCGGAGGTCTCTCGATACAATAATATTGAGGTCTCTATTCTCCGGGTCGAAAAAGATCTCTTTTACAGTAACAATTCTACTATTTATAGTACATAAACGAGGAGAAGTTCTAAGGCTTCTCGTTCAGCTCTCACCGCCTCTTGTCGCTGGGCTTTTCTCTTATGGGCCGTGCTGTCAGGCCAGACCCATTTCGGCTAAGACTGTCGTAAACCGGGATCAATTGGGCCGGTCTCGGTCTTTAACCGATCCGAACCGGGTAGCGGAGCGTACCACCAACAGTATGTCCCCCCAGTTCGGTAAATGGACCTGACTGACTTTTGCCGAATTGAAGCCGGAGTTGTTAATGACCGAGGTCGGCGAATACCGAATTCCCGACTTGTAGCAGTGTTCTTTCCCCTAATATTTCGACGATGGTATTAAGGTCTTTTTGCTCGCGGGAAACTGAAGAGTCGCGTCGGTTTAGGCGGGAAATCGAGACGTTACGAAGTGCGGAACTCGAGAAGTCGCAATGATTCGCCCTTCTTCTATAAATAGGGCTCAACTCTCCCCATTTCCTACTTTCGCTCCTACTGCCAAGGTATTCGCTCTCCCTTCTCTCTAAATTTTCTTTTTTCTCTCTCTAGGATCTCCGGCCGCCGTCCGCCGTGCTCTCTCGTCGACGGTTATTTTCCCGAACTGCTCCGACGATGTCTTCCAACTCCTCCTCCAACTCTGAAGCCGCTATTCTTCCCGAACACTGTAGGGAGGAATCTTCCACTGACGCCTCGAGCTCGGGATCTACAGAGCATTCTTCGAACGCTTCTCTGGTTCGGAAGAATTCCCGGGTCGTCGAGGTCGACTCTAGTAGTCGGGTTCCGATACGAGCTCCGGAGCGGATGGATCGGAATCTCCGTGAGCCCGAGGGCCAGGTTCTCACTGACCTGGTCTCGGGACGGGAGCCTGACGCGAAGACAGATGAGGATGCTCCACTGCGTGAGGTCGGGGATGGAGGAGCGCTGGATCCAAACGATGATGACATGATGCCGATCATGGATCGGCCATGCGTGTGCGCTCCAGTGAAGTCCACCTTGTCATCCCCAGAGACAGTTCGGGCTGCAATGCTGATCGGCGGGGCCCCTCCTGGAATCATAATCCAGGTTCTCGAACCGGAAGAGCGCCCTTGGGATGCACCCGAGGACTTCATTTGTGTCTACGAGGCTTATTTCCGCGAGGCCGGATTGACTTTCCCTCTGCCCCGCTTGCTGTTCGCTTACTGCAATCGTCGCGGCCGCGCGATATCACAACTCCAGCCGGCGTCGATAGTGAATTTTGTCGGGATTCTCCAGCTCGGGCGCGATATCCGTGCTCACATCAATGTGGCCCAATTCGAGGAGCTTTTTATCATGAAGGTCTCATCGGCCAAAAGTTGGTTTTTGTCGGTGAATTGCAACCCGAAGTTCGACCTGGTTACTGGGAACAAGGCTAGCAAATTTCCGAACTGGGACCAAAGTTACTTCTTTGTTCGCGTCGATTCGCTGTCTGCTGAGAATCCGGAGAGCACGTTCCGGACTGGCTGGAGTGTCGATTTTGGTACATATCTCCCGGTTAACTCCCCTGTTTCTTGGTCGGTACTAATAGTTTCTTTGCTTATGCAGATCGCCACGTTCCAGGATTTATTCAACGCTCCCTTACGTCCGACCTAGCGAAGCAGCTAAGTCTCGCCGGACAGCGCCGTTGGCCCCTAGCTTACCAAGAGAAGATCGACCGGCGGATAAAGAGAGCTCAGGACAGAGGTATGAGTTCTTGATTCGATTTGCTCGAGACAATCTTAAATCATAGCTAACTCGTTTTGTTCTTCTTGTAGCTAAAACTAAAGCCGAGCCCAGTTCGTCGAGACCGGTACCAAAGAAAAGGAAATCGAAGAAAAGCAGCAAGAAGAGTCGGCGGAAAATGGCTTTTGACAAATCGGACATTCCGACGATGAACTTCGGGGCTGACGAGGAAGAGGACGATGCCCCGATTGACATCGTCGGCCTCGACGGAAACAAGGTCGGTGATGGTAATGAAACCGGTGGCGGGGACGAGGTCGACAACGTCTCGGTCGGCCCAGTTGATCCCTTGATCCCAGTTACGGATCCGGAGGGCGACGTGGTGGGAACTGTCGTTCCTGAGGCGACTCCTCAGCCTCAAATGGAGGAAGGCGAGATTGGTGAGCAGGACGAGGACGAGCTCACCATTGCCGACCGCGCACGAAGAAAGAAGGGGAAGTCCTCGAAGAGGTCTTCTCGGAAGAGGGGCGGTGACCCCGAGACGGCCGTGAGTGAGGGGACGCTGGTCCTTCACGGCGGGGACATTGGCGGTTCGCCTACCGCTTCTCAAGTCCCCCCGGCGGATCCGGCGGTCGAGACCGGGAACCCGAGGTCGTTCAAGAGGTGCCGGACCTCTGACTCGTCATCTTTCTCGGTCCGTCTCAACTATAATAAGGAGAGGTCCTTTTTTGACGACGCAACTGCCTGCGCCGAGCTCTTCAGGCAGATCATCCCGGCCTCGTCTCCAATGCCTGAGACTAAAGACCTCTTCCGCCCTAAGTCTTACGCCTGGGTCACGATATCCGCCTCCGCTGTAAGCTTCTCTGTGATTTGAATACTTAGACGTTTTTATTTTGAAATGTCTGACTTTGATCTCTATTTTCAGCTCGTCTGTGACACCAACGAGCTCGTCCACGAGTACGATTCTGAGGTCGAGAGGCTGAGGAAGATTAACGCCGAGGTCGCTGCTGAGAGGGTGTTGTTGGAAGCGTCGTACCGGGAAGAGAAGGAAAGGTACGAAGCTTCGGTGCTGGCCTTCACTGAAAAGGAGAAGGAGAACATTGCCCTGAAGGAGAAGGTCGGGGCTCTGGAAAGGCGGACTGCCGAGCTGGAGGGCGACATGGACGCTCTGTCCAAGTCGTTCAAGACGAGCGAGCTCGAGAGGCGGAAGTACTGAGACGCCGAGTCAAAGGGCCGAAAGATGATGGCCGCGCTTAGAGGCAAATGCGAGGGGAATCTGGCCAAGATGAAAGACTTCATGGACAAGTCCGAGCTCCGGAGGGCGCCGTTCCTCAAGCTCAATCAAGCGACTGCTCTGGTCGGCACAACATGATCGTTCCGTCTCACATCATGGAGACGTATGGGCGCAGGGTCAAGAACTGCACGAAGGAGGTTGATGATATCCCTCTCCCGCGGCTTGAGAACGAAGACTTCATTCTCCCGAGTGATGACGACCTCATCCCAAGGATCGTGCTTCCGTCGGGAACGCAAGTACCGGAGGGTTTGGATCAGTTCGGTTCAAATTCCAGATCCATCTCGGCTGATCGGGCAGCGAGTCTGAAGAGTCTGGCGTCTGTTGCTTCCGCCGGGAACCCCTTAGCCTTTTTTATTTTGTTATCATGTTGTTTAAGATTGTAAAGTTTATCTCACCCGCACAGTTCGGGTTTAACTTAATGATTTGTTTTGGTCGCCGGTTTTGGGCGTTGTATTGTTGCCGTCTAGTTCGGCAATTTCGGGTATTAATGAAATGAGCGCGGTTTTTATTTGTCACTGTTCTTTACTTAGAGTTTTCTTTTCTCGTATTTTACTTGCGAACTGTTGGGAGTTCGGCTTGTTTCCATTGAATTTGGAGAGTTCGTGATGTTATAGTGACGATGCGGATGAACTCGGGAGGCTTTTCCAAACTTGAATCGTGGTTGACGGATTGCTGTTCCGAAGAGCGAGTGCGGATTGGGTTCCGGCTTTGAATGATGGGGCATCATGGGGATGCGGGCGAGACTGATCTCGGCTTTTGTAGTTGTATTCGTGGGGAATACTTGAATCGATCTCCTGGCCGGGGAGTCGATGAGTGAAGTTAGTGACAAAAATGAAAAAGATGGATTTTTTTTGGATTTGTAGCTGGACTCGAAATCGAGCTGCCTACGAACCCTTTTGCAAGAAACCAAGCCACTCGTAGTTCAGTTTACAGGGGTGAGTTCGGCCGGAGCCGGACTGGTTTTTTTTTTTTTTTAGGCGCGCTGATGGCGGTAAGATGATTAGTCCGAGCTCGCGGTGGCTGGGACTTAGTAGTAATATCGTTTGAGGTTGGCTGAGTTCCATGAATGCGGGATCGGCGTTCCATTGAGTTGCATGAGTTCGTAAACCCCGGGTTTGACGATTCTCATTATCTGATATGGACCTTCCCAGTTCGTTCCCAGCTTGCCTGCGTTTAGTTCCTCGTTGTTATGGCATACCTTGCGCAGAACGAGGTCGCCTTCATCGAAATGCCGACCTCGCACTTTCTTGTTGTAGTACCGAGCAGCGAGCTTTTGGTAGTTCTGGATTCGGAGGAGAGCTAGGCATCGCTGTTCTTCCAAGTTATCGAGGTTGTTGAGCATCATCTGGTTGTTGAGATCGGGGTTCTCGGGGAGCACATAGTATCTTAATGTTGGGATGCTCACTTCTGCCGGACAAAGGGCTTCAAGTCCGTATGCTAAAGAGAAGGGAGATTGTCCGGTCGATCGTCTGGGAGTAGTTCGGTGCGACCATAAGACTCCGTCGAGCTCGTCCGCCCAGGTGCCTTTCTTAGCCTCAAGACGCTTCTTTATGCCGTCCAGGATGGTCTTGTTGGTTTCCTCGGCCTGACCGTTGCCTTGCGGATATCGCGGGGTCGAGAAACTAAGATGAATTTTGAACTTTGCGCACTAATCATTGAACGTTCCAGCGATCTCATGCGGGACCCCGTGTCTGTGACGATCTCATGCGGGACCCCGTGTCGGCAAATGATATACTTCCAAATGAATTTTTGTACGTACAGTGCGGTGATCTCCGAGTACGCTTCGGTCTCAACCTATTTTGTGAAGTAGTTAGTCATAAGCAGGATGTACTGTTTTTGACTTGTTGATCGGCATAAGGGGCCAACAATGTCCATGGCCCACCGCATAAAAGGGTAAGGCGCCGTACTGGTTTGAAGCTGTTTGGTCGGCACGTTGATCATTGGACCATGACGCTGGCACTTATCGCACTTCGTGACAAATTTCTCGCAGTCCGCGTTCATCGTCAGCAAGAAATAGCTGGCTTTTTTGATTTTCAGGACAAGGGATCGACCTCCCGAGTGATTGCCGCCGGATTCTTCGTGGATTTCGCGCATGATTTCGACTATATCGTTTCCGGCAAGGCAGGCCAAGAGTACTCCGGATGCGCTCCAATGGTATAGTTTATCTTTATGCATTGTGTAATGAGCAGCCCAGACTTTAGGACGGCGAGCAGCCCATTTGTCTTCAGGGACTTTGCCGTTGAGGAGGTATTCTCGCAGTTTGGCTGTCCAATCTTCAGCGGGCTCGTTTTCCTGGTTTTCACTGGTCGATGGGCTGTGGATTCCTTCAGTTATGTGCTCGAAGTCGTGATCGGCGGCTAGATCATCGAGAGCTTGTTCGGCATTCTCCTTAAGAACCTGTTCAGCATTCTTGTTTGCTCGTGCCGGATTCCTGCGTTGCGTATTTGACGAGGTCGGATTTCCGTCATAGTTCCGTCGTCGGGTGGCAACATTGCATTTTGGCGCGGATTTGATGCTTGGTTCTGAGATACTCTCGACCGGGATTTTTCTCTTCATATGCGGGTCAGAACTGGAAGCTCGGGCGGCTAACGCGTCGGTAGACGAGTTCTCACCGCGAGGAATTTTGGTGAGTTCGAACGTCTCAAACTTCGAGATGAGTGCCTTAGTCATTATTAGGTTCGCGTCCATTCGCTCGTTTTTGGTCGTGTACTCTCCACATAACTGACTTGCGACGAGCTGCGAATCACAGAAGGCGTGAAGATGTCGCACACCGAGCTCTTTGGCCAATCGCAGTCCGGAAAGTAGAGCTTCATACTCAGACTCATTGTGGATGCAGGGAACTCAAGGCGGAGCGACTGTTCGAGGATCTCGCAGTTTGGAGACTTTAGGCGGATTCCGACACCTGATCCCCGGTGTGATGACGATCCGTCGACATGCAGAGTCCATAGCTCACAGGGCGGCTGTTCGACGATGAACTTTTAGGGAGCTCGATCAGAAAATCGGCGAGTACTTGGGATTTCGCACTTGTTCGATTCTTGTATTCTATGTCGTACTCGCTTAGTTCGACGGCCCATTTCGCGAGGCGACCCGATTGGCTTGGACTGTGTAGAATGGTTCGTAGCGGCTGATCGGTCAAGACTGTGATTGAATGAGACTGGATATATGGCCGAAGTTTCCGAGCGGAAACCACCACTGCAAGCGCCAGTTTTTCTAAGGTCGGGTATCTGGCCTCGGCGTCACTTAGCGATTTGCTGACATAGAATATTGGATGCTGTTCCCTCCTGTCCTCGCGGACTATTACACTGCTAACCACCGATGTGGAAATAGCGATGTATAAGAATAGCGTCTCGCCATTCTCGGGCTTATTTAGAATGGGGGGGGTCGAGAGATACGTTTTCAGCTGCCTGAAGGCGTCTTCGCACTCGGTGCTCCAAGTATGATGCTTGTTACCTCGTAACAACTGATAGAAAGGCAGGCACTTATCGGTCGACCTGGAGATAAATCTGTTCAGAGCGGCGATTCGGCCCGTGAGTTTTTGCACTTCCCTTTTAGAGGTCGGGGAAGGTAGGTCCAAAACTGCGGATATCTGTTTTGGGTTAGCCTCGATGCCGCGCTCAGTGACGATGTAACCGAGGAACTCGCCTGCTGTTACGCCGAAGGTGCACTTGGCAGGATTGAGTTTCATCCCGTACTCGTTTAGAATGTTGAAACACGTCGACAGGTGCGATATGTGGTCCTTGGCGTGCAGGGATTTAACCAGCATGTCGTCAATGTATACTTCCATCGTTTTTCCGAGTTGACTGGCGAACATGCGGTTCACGAGTCTTTGATATGTGGCTCTCGCGTTCTTGAGACCGAATGGCATGACCTTATAATAGTAGATTCCTCGATCTGTGATGAACGAAGTCTTTTCCCGATCATCCGGATGCATTAGTATTTGGTTATACCCCGAGAAGGCATCCATGAAAGATAACAGTTCGTTGCCAGCAGTTGTCTCTACCAATCGATCAATGTGTGGTAGTGGGAAACTATCTTTGGGACAAGCTTTATTCAGGTCGGTGAAGTCGACGCAAATCCTCTACTTTCCATTCTTTTTCTTCACGACTACAGGGTTCGCTAGCCAGTCCGGGTACCAAACTTCTGTGATCGAACCGGCTTTGAGAAATTTTTCGACCTCGTCATTAACCGCTCGTGCTTTCTCGGGTCCAAGCTTGCGTCTCTTCTGTTTGATCGGTTTGTATGTTGGATCGATATTTAGCTCGTGGCAAGTGATATCTGGATTGATTCCCGGCATGTCGCTGATGGTCCATGCGAACGTGGAGACGTTCTTCTGGAGGAAACTGATGAGTGCTTCTCGAATATTGTTGTCGAGTTCGGCCCCTATGCCAACACATCTTTCCGGATCTGTCGGGTCAATGCAGACTTGGTCAACTCGGCTCTGTTTAGGTGGACCGAACTGGCTTACTGCGGCCGCACGGTCTTCCTGAAAGGGGCTGATGACGCATCTCCGTGTGAGACTGAGTTTGCACTCGGTTAGATGGCATAAACGGGACGCGGTCTGGCTTCCTTTGAGGGTGAAAGTCCCTGACGGGGTCGAGAACTTGACGCACTGATGGAACGTTGAAGCGACGGCCTTCATGTCGAACAGCCATGGCGTTCCCAAAATCGCATTATATATTGCCGGTTTGTTGAGGACTAAGAACTTGATCATTCGGGCTGACCCGCCGACATAAATGGGTATTTTCACCGTTCCCACTGTTCTTGTTTTCTCTCCGGTGAACCCGGTCAATGATTCCATGTAAGGCTTGATCTCAGAATCCGGAAAATCCATATTCTTGAGTGTTTCTTTGGATATGACGTTTACCGAACTCCCCGTGTCGATTAATATCCTGCTTACTTTGACGTCTCCGAGCTGAAGCTCAACGACGAGGCAATCGTTGTGAGGCATATGCACTCCCCGTAGGTCGGCGTCGGTGAATAACAGTGGTACGGTTGTGACCGTTGTCTGGGGTTGCGAACTCGATGCCTGCCGGCTGTACTCTTTGAGGGCTCGGACGGAGTAGTTGCATGATTCGAGGGCTCCCATAATCATATTGACTTTCTTCCTGGTTTTGGGTACATTCGTTTCTCTATTAGGTGCTTCGCGGTCTCGTTTAGGGGGAGCGACCTGTTCTTCATCAGAGTCGGCTGCCTTACCAGCTTCTTGATTGCCGGGTTTGTTTGGTCGCGGGTTTGGCCGCCGGGGTCCCGGTTTAGGCAAATCTGCGGTGTCGATCTCGCCCTTGCGGAACTGTTGAAGTAGGAAGTCCCTCAGGTGTCGGCATTCCTCCGTGCTATGCCTATATCGCTCGTGATACTCGCAAAAACGTTCACTTAGTGGCGTATCATCTTCTCTATTCCACGTGTTCCAAGATTTTGGTGGCCGTCCTGACTTTTGGTTTGACGGTCCTGCCTGGTTCACTACTCCGTGCGGTTTGCCGGACTGGACTTTCGTTTCCGAATTATCTTTGGTGGTCAAGGTCTGGTCGGGCTTTGACGCTGAGTACTGCGGATCTTTGGCGGCTTCTTCTTCTTCTTCCGCGATGAAGATGTTTGATTTGTGGAGCGCGTCCTCAAGGGTGAGGGGTCTGTTCTTGCGAAGTTCTTTATGAAAAGGTGATTTGTACCAAGTTTTCTGGTATAAAGCTTCGAGGGCGGCTTCGTCGTCCACCGTGCAGTGCGCCACGATCTGCTTGAAACGCGCCATAAAGTCTCGGAGTGATTCGTTTTCACCCTGTGATATCTCCCACAGCTCGGAGTTACGGGTTTTCTGCCCGATGAACATCGAGAAATGCTTTGCGAACTTAGTTGAAAGCTCCTTGTTGTTATCAATGGAGTCGGCTTCTAATCTTGAGAACCAATCCAAAGCTATGCATTCGAGGTGTTTAACGAACAGTTGGCATTGGATCGCGTCCTTCTGCTCGGCCGAGTTGAACTTCATTCGGTTGATCACGATGCCGAACGAGGTAAGAAAATGCCTCGGGTCCGAGTTCCCTTTGTATGAACGTAGTTTAAACTTTTCGAGGTTAGGGACGGGGACGTTGGTGATCCGGGAAGTGAACGGTGTTTTCTGTGCTTCCTGGATTACGCGGTCAATTTCAGGTGCCGAACTGGTGGCTTGGTGAAATTTGGAACTGATCTCTCGCAGTTGGGCCTGCATCCGTTCGATTTCCAGGTCGCGCGCCGTCGGTTGAGCTCGTATATGTTGGGACGGGCTTTCGGACTGTTGCTGCTGCTGTATCACCGACCGTGCCACCGTGCACTGCAGGTCTCGCTCTCCCTGGAAGTCGCTGATGAGGTTCCGTCGTCGAAGCGGGCTCTCTTGTTGCAGGCTAGAGATCTGCGCGGTGAGAGTCGCGAATTTGGCATCATTGCTTCGGACTAGCTCTTGCATTTGAGCAGCGAAAGCGTTCATGAGTGCGGTTGGATCGAAGGCAGCTGGCGAAGCCTGGTGAGCCCCGGTGCTTGAGCTCGGCTCTGCCCTGATTTGTTGTGTTCCAGGTTGAGGTCACACGGGGCTGTGTTCGCCTTCCCCTGTATGTCCTCCGACCTGGGTGGGGTCATCTGCGCAGGTCATTTGACTCCCGACCTAGACTGAGGTCGGTTGTCCATCATCAGTCGTCATGTCTTCGAGGTCGATTACCGAATCGGCCTCACGGTGGTCGCCAATTGTTGATTGTGGTTCTCAACTATCTGGGGTCGGTTCGGTAATTCGAGTTCGGAAAATTAAATTGATTGTATTTTATTAAGTTCTCAATTACAGTTCATTCAGTTCGGAGGTCTCTCGACGAACTCGATACAATAATATTGAGGTCTCTATTCTCCGGGTCGAAAAAGATTCCTTCTACAGTAAAAATTCTACTATTTATAGTACATAAACGAGGAGAAGTTCGAGGGCTTCTCGTTCAGCTCTCACCGCCTCTTGTCGCTGGACTTTTCTCTTATGGGCCGTGCTGTCAGGCCAGGCCCATTTCGGCTAAGACTGTCGTAAACCGGGATCAATTGGGCCGGTCTCGATCTTTAACCGATCCGAACCGGGTAGCGGAGCGTACCACCAACATTGGACAGGACATTAATGAAAAATAGATACGGTGAAAGAGCTCAGTCCTGTCTCAGCCCCCTTTCACTTCTAAAAAAACCCGCAAGCTCCCTATTAATCTGAACCGAAAATATGTTGTAGATATGCATAGATTGATCCAGTGGACAAAGACATGAGGGATGTCTAAGCCAGCATCGTATTTATCAAGAAAGACATTGTCCAGAGTCAAAAGCCTTTGCTATATCAATTTAAGCGCACTGCAAGATGATATCGAAGGTTTGTGATAGTCTTTAACCAATTCAGAAGCTAGGAACAGGTTCTCAATCAGAAATCTGTTCTGGAAATATGCAGATTGATTTGGCGCAACAAACTTCAGGAATATTTCCTTCAAACGATTGGCAAGGATATTTGAGATGGCCTATAGAGAACATTAAAGCAATAAATTGGTCTGCAATCTTTCATCTGTTTGGCATCATCTTTTTTGGGGATCAAGCTAAGATAATGGTGTTGATGCCTTTAGGTAGATACCCAAATCTGAAGAAAGATTGGACAGCAACTGTGAGATCTCTGCCAATCACTTGCCATGCTCATTTGAAAAATTTACTAGTGAAGCCATCTGGGCCCAAGGATTTGTCGTTTGGCATCAAAAATCTGACATCCTTAACCTCAGCTTCAGAGACTTCCCACGTTGACCAAGCTTAATCGACTTGGAAGCAATTGAAGTTAAGCAAGTCTCGTAATGGTTCCACGAAAATTCTCGTGTACTCTTCTGGTTTCAGAGTTAAAAATTCTTGAAAGTATGATTCAGCCTTTTTTATATATCATCAGCACAAGTTGCTGTCAAACCATTTGAACAAGAATCTCTTGGATGGTGTTCTTTGACTTCCAGACCGTTGCTGCGCGGTGAAAAACTTTGTTGTTTTTATCACAAACATCCATCCAATGAAATTTAGATGTCTGCTTGAGAAATTCTCTTCAAAGTCTGCTAGTTTACTGATATATCATGGGTTTTGTGGTTTTTGACCATGATATAGGTTTTATCTATAAAGCCTTTATAGTATTTTTTGAGTCTTTTGAAGTTTTAATAGATCTAGGTGCGTTTGGAGCATAATTGGAGATTTTTGAATATTTTGGAGCCAAGCAAAAATCAATTGCGGTGAAAGACGATTTCTTCCCTTGGTGTCGATCAACACCACTATTGGTGTCGCTTGACACCGATTTCGTGAAAAAGGAAATCTCGTCTTTTTACAAGTTTTTTGAAGATTTCTGCATTTGGCCTAGAAGTTTTTAATATTTACAAGAAGGTTCCACTCATGTTTTTAGCTTTTAATGAGGTTTTTCAGCCACCTGTTTTGGCTAACTTTGATTTTATCTTTCATACTTGGAGAAGAGATTTGAGAGAGCTTTTTGGGAGAAAAGTCTAAGACTCTAAGAAAAGATCTTGAACCCATATTTCTTAAACTCATAATTATTATTTTCAATCTATTTAATCATGTTTATCGTTTCAATCTCTATATCTGAGTAGTTTGTTAGGTTTAGAGTTCTCATAAAAGATCTCTTTGAATGCTAGATTTACTGGTTTGTTAGGATTCATCTGATTAGTTCTTTACTATAGGTTATTATTTTAGCTAATTCTAGACTGATCACCTGGAACTTAGATCTTAGGTTATCGATTTGACACGAAAGTGTGATTGATAATCTGATAGAACCTAGGGTTAGCAAAATAACTACCTGCAAAGAAATTTGGTTTAGTTATTTTGTGAAACAAATTAAACCTGAACTTAAAGCTTGTTTAGTCTTTAAGATTTGCAAAGAAATTTGAAATTTTGGGATTTAAACTTAGATAATTCTCGCAATGAAAGTTGGTTGTTTATAATTTAGTGATTTGAGTTCAAGAACCACACTTAATCTGAATCCTGACTGATTCATTTATCTGCATTCTTTGATTTCCAGAGAAACACTCTAAGTTTATTATTTCTCATTAATTTTACAACCCTTTTGATTACATTACTGCTGTCAATTCATTGTTTTACTTAGCTGAATTCAAACCTATATAGTTTATTGTGTGATTCTCGAGTCTCTGTGGTTTGACACTTATTATACTACAATTGCATATATGCTCTTACAGTGTAGCTCTAGGGATTAAAATTTGAGCAGATCATTTAGCCCACTTCAGCTAAGCCTCTACTTCTTCCTTGATCTCAGTGGTTATCGGGTTTGACAGAGTAAACTTTTGTTTGTCACACAGGCTCATAGGCCTCCTATGTTCAACGAAAGATATCTCCTATCTGTTGTCTTTGAAGATCACGAAGATATGGATTAAAAGTATTTAATTTCTTTGAAAATCGAAGCATCGCGGACGTCGATTGAAATAACTCCTCTGTTCCAAACCAAAAGTCTTCAACAAGCGGCAAGAAATTTAGCAAATCCACCAATGCATTAACAAATTTAAATGGTTTTCTCTTTTGTTGCTCTTCAGCGTTACATGAATCCGGCATCACAGATGGTCTGAACATCCACCATCTTCAAAGATACTATATGATCTCAGGAATCCCTCCAACCACTCCTCGTTTACCAATACCCTGTCTAGTTTCTTGTAGATCAGTCCCTCATCTCTTTTGTTGCACCATGTGCAATTTGGACCGTTAAACCCCAAGTCCCAAAGGGAGCAATAGTCAATTGTGTCTTGAAAATCCTGTGTTCCCTGGAAAATAACAGGATTTAAATCATATCTTGAGTGATCCCAAAATAATCTTATTAAAATCCTCGTACAGGATCCAAGCCTTGCCATTGAATATTGCTGAGTCATAATGCGCTTTCAAGTCATCCCATTAAGCACATCTTTCCTCAGGAAAATTGGATGCATAGATAAATGAATAGAAAAATTTATCTTCTTTGTTCTCCAAACAAACCGAACAAATAAGTAATTATTTGTCCATTTTGGATGGCATGAGCCTTACGCCATCCCACCATACAACCAATATACGACCCAAACCACTGAATTCATAGTTAGATATACACGATAGATCCCAAAATACTGAATAAAAAATCTTCTATGATTTATTCTCCCGAACTCGTGTTTCCAAAATACAACCAAACTGCAAAGAAGATTTCTCAATCCAATTGCGAACCACCTTATGCTTTGAAATTTTGTTGAAACCTCGACTATTCCAAAAGAAACTCGTCATTAATGATTTTGTTTGGAATGTCTCCTCCATCCAATACCAGGTTAACCCTAGCTTTTTGAGATTGTGTAGCCGAGAGATATTTGTGATCGTTTTTGGATTTATGAGGCAGAGAAGCTCTAATACTTGTACCGTTTACATTTATTTTGCAGTTTTCTTTTCTTTGACGTTGCTAGTAAGAGCTAAGTCGAATGAAGATGAATCAATAGGTGAATCATCTACTTTCTCTTCTCATGCTTCAACTTCTGCCATTTGTTCTTCATTTAACCGTTTACCCTCTTCTCCCGCCTTGCCCAGAGTTTCAAATTGGGAGTAAGTTAAGAGTTTAACCTGTCCAAACTTCAAATTTTAATTCTTCTTTCCCGAGCTTCGATAGGCTTTCCCTGGTGATACTTCAGACCAAATTTCTTCAATTTGTTGCATGTTATCCACTAGTGGAATGACACATTGTTCTTCAGGCAACACCAGTAGTGTTGGTTCCCCAATTCTCTGACTACTTCGATTGCTTTGATTCCCACTCCATCTGGTTGAATAACAGCTTGAACATTTGTTTTAGTAACCTGTTTTGTTTCCTCAGTTATCTTATTTCCCTTTTTTATCCCACTCTCTACAGCAATAGCCTTAGACAGTGAATCTGAGTTGACAACACAAATTGTATTTAGATGTCCCCACTTTCCACAATTTGAAAATTTAGGTGGTAGTCGTGGATACCTAAACTCCACATCTGATTCCATTCCTTCTTTGAATTGTTAGTTGATCACTTCAGGAAGCTCTTTTGTCAAGTATGCCTCAACAAAAACTTTAACAATCTCAAGGTTGAGCATGCTGCTGTTTCCGGATTAAGACGTTCAGGAATATCAACTGTGCTTGTGATAAAACTGAGCTCTTTCCAGGAAAACATATTTGGTCGAACGTTTCTGAAATGCACCTAAAGTGGTAATGATTTCACCTCTGGCTCAGCGTCTTCTGTTATTGGTGACCACTTAGCGACCACCATCAGAATTTCAGCAATTTTACACATGACATGGCGTAGAACTCTGGATCAGAGAGTTGGATTCAAGATTTTGAACTTTACGATTGAATCGTTTATGACGTGAACGTCGATCTTTTGAGATTTGTCTCCTAGAGACCAATTCTTATTGCCAATCATGTGAATCTTCACAACATGAGGCACTGGTGCGAGGATATAAACTACAACTAAGTTGTCCCAGAGCGATGTTGCCTCATAAACTTCCTGAGGGACTTCCACTGATCTCTTACCATCTTTAACTGAAATTTAAATATCATACTTGGATAGAGTGTTCTTATTTTGGAAAATATTTGCCCATAAAGTAGGAGACGGAGAACCAGAAGATCGAGGAGACTCAAATTCTGTCCCCTGTGATGCCATGCTCCCTCGCCGAGAGCAGCGACACCAGCGGCACCTGGAGTGAGACAGAACCTTGAGAACCCTAAATCGCCAAAAAAAAACCCCTAACGCAAAACCCTATTTCTAAAATCTTCTCCACGTGGGTTTGTCTAAAAAAAGCGAAACCTTTCGTCTGCAATTATGCGAAGGATGTTGATAATATCAATTTAGGCCAGGGAATTTTTCTTCTCATCTAACATGATACTCTATAAAATAGACTCATACAGACATTGGACTTCAGATAGTCTAGAACATGAGACTCTATAAAAGTGTTTAGTAAGAGTGGCCCATATCTCATGAGAAGTGATGCACCTGATAATAACACTTTGGATGTTTTCTGAAATAGAGCCGAGAAGCCATGATCAGGACCACCTGATATGTTCTTAACCATGTTTGGTAATAAAGATTTGGTGTTTTTTTATATTGCTGTTAATTTGAGGAACGACAAAAGGAGCTCTAGGGGGAGGGTTCTGGTTACAAACCCCAGAAGAGCTCGACCAGACAAGGATTACTCAACTGAGGTTTCAGAGAATGTAGTTGCGTTTTGTGATACTTAATGACATAGCAGAATAGAGCTCCATGGAATTGTTATTTATGGCTCTGATACCATGAAAGTAGATCTGTTACCCTTCAAATTTTGCAATCGCAGACTTATCTTAGTTATACAAAGAAGTAAAACCCTAATAAATCCTAGTTATTATGAACAGATGTATAACAATTTCGTTTCCAAGGAATCAAGGCCTTTGTCGTTTTCAATTAATTGATGACCGTTATAAGCTGGACGAAGAATCCGATGGTTGTGTGTTGGGCTTTGTCGTTGTCTTAATAGGATTCTTAGGACAGCTGTTGCTTGATCATTGGTTTCTTCTCAAAATTTTTTTGGACCGTCTCTCTCCTTCTTTCGACCACTTTTTCTTCTCTTCATTTTTGGCTGACGTTTTTCTTGTCTTCCAACGGCATTCAACCACATCAAATTGGAGATATGAAGACAAAATCGGGGCTTTTTAATGAAGGATTCTCTCTTCTCTTTGTCAAGGTACGATTATATGCTAGATTTCGTTGTAGTTCTAGATAAAGTTTTGTTTATTGAGATTGAAATTAGGGTTTAGTGGTTTGAAGAAAAAATTATGCATATTTGGTGTAAGCGAGATTAGGGTAATTTGATTCAATAATAGTTGAGATTAGGGTAGTTTGAAGATGATTTTAGGCATATATTGTTTGATTTTGGTTTTATGATCGCATTTGCTAAGTTTTTTTTTCCGCATATGCTAAGTTTTTTTTTCCGCATATGCTAAGTTTTTGGTTCTTTGTTTTTGATGAGGGTAAATGGAGAAACAACGATAGATTCTTCTTGAAGCTTGAGGAGGATTCCTTTTACGCAATGAAGCACGGTAATTCATCTTCATTTATCTTTGTTATAAAATCGATGCTTGGTTTTTTTGGTAGATTTAATTTATATGTATGATTGAATATGGTATGTTTTGGGTTTTTGTTGAAGTATTTGATCACATTTCTCAGTTTTTTTGTTAGGTTAAATGGAGAAACAACAATAGATGCTCATAGAAGCTCCCACCAATTCCTTTACAGCAATGAAGCAAGGTAAGTCATCTTCCTAACTCTTAGTTAGCATACATAGTTAGCAGAAGGATAGTAGTAATAATCGGTTAGATAGGCTTTAGGATAAATGCTTGTTAGCTGTTTGTTAGGTGAAGACTTTAAGGTCTTTGTTTTCAATGCTTGGTAGTTTAGATTATGTTAAAGAGTTAAAGCTCTTGTGATCAATGCTTGTCATTGATTGCCAAAAAAAAATTAACCATTACCGCCTATATAATGGTGCTTGCACTAGAAACACTTAAACCGTAAAACACCTATCCTTGTAAGAACTTTCTGAAAACTTTTCCTTTCTAAAAACTTTCTAATATAGAGAGTGAGAGTTTAGAGAAAGATAGTAATTAAGAATGAAGAGTTTGTTGTTTTTTGTTGTGTTTCTTAGTTGTATACGTTGTTCTATATTATAGAGAATGAAGAGCTCTGTTCTTAGAATGAAGGTAGTTAAGTAAAAAGATTCCTGAGTCATTCGCATCTATCTCCATATGTACAGGTTCAATTTCTCTCTCTCTCTCAGTCTATGTTTAAGCTGGTTGGTGTGTTATTCTTTTTTCACCACTTTAACAATATGGGTTTCTGATATGGGTTTTGGATTTCGAATATGGGTTTTGTTGTTCTTTGTCAGCTGGACCTCTCAATGAGCAAAAAGAGGTGAAGGCCAAAGATATAATACACAGAGCATTGTATTATTGAGTTGTTTTATTTCCCGTGTTTCCAAAGAGGTGAAGGCTAAAGATAGGCAATATAGATCACGGGTTTTGTTTCCTGTGTTGTTTTATTGATCATTGTATGGATCCATTTGGTTTTGTTTTGTAGTATTGTAAACCAAAAAATTTTGAGGGTATTGTAAACCACAAACATTTCTTGAGAGTATTGTAAACCACATATGTGTTGTAAAACAATCGATCATTTATTTCCTATATATGTGTTTAGAAAACCGTTCTTTTATTTCTCTATCAAACACCAACTCTTCTCTTCTTTTGTTCCTCTATCAAACTCCAACTCGTCTCTTCTATTATTTCCCTATCAAACTCCAACTCTTCTCTTGTTTCTCCATCAAACAAAAATAAATTCACAAAATATAGCATCTTCTTCAAGCAATGCTTTCGACGGATGCTTGATGAAAGTTTTGATGAAGTCTTCAATCAAAAATTCGACAATATGTTTAATACCCTCCATAAATATTTCGACGCCGTTCTAGAATGAACAAACCTTTGTTCATGCGTATTGTTGATCGAGTCTCCCATGAAGTTTCATTCTTTCGACAAAGAAGAGATGCTATTGGAAGGTTTGGTCTCTCTAGAATAGAAAAGTGTACAGCAGCAATTCATATGATGGCATATGGTTGTGCGGCTGAAGTGGTTGATGAATACCTCCGGCTCGGTGAAAGTACTGCAATTTTATACTTGGATAATTTCGTAGAAGGAATAATATATTTGTTCAGAGATGAGTACCTAAGAAGACCCACACCAGAAGATTTTCGATGACTATTCGATATTGGAGAGATACACGGATTTCCCAGGATGATAGGAAGCATCGATTGTATGCATTGAGAGTGGAAGAGTTGCCCTACTGCTTGGAAAGAGTAATATACACGTGGATCACGAAAACCGACAATCGTCTTAGAGGCTGTAGCGTCACATGATCTTTGGATATGACACACATTTTTTGGACCTCCAGGTACCTTAAACGATATCAATGTTCTTGATCTCTCACCAGTTTTTGATGATATATTACAAGGTCGAGCTCCAAAAGTGAATTACTTAGTCAACGAACATAAGTATCATCTGGTGTACTACCTCACAGACGGTATGTATACGAAATGGCCAACTTTTATCCATTATATTCCAATTCCTCAAGGTCCGAAAGCATCGTTATTTGCTATATATCAAGAATCTGTACGAAAAGATTTCGAGCGTGCTTTTGGAGTCTTGCAAGCTCGATTTGCAATTGTAAAAAACCCATATCTTATTTGGGATAAGGAAAAAATAGAAAAGATTATGAGAACATATATCATAATACACAATATGATAGTAGAAAACTCTCAGTTTGATGTATCAAAATTCGAACAAGGAAAAGGAAGTAGAACTTCACAAGTGGATATGACATATTCTACATATATGCCTACAAATCTCGGCAATTGATCGGCATTCAAAATCAAGTTCGTGATAGAAAAATACATCAACAATTGAAAACTGATTTAGTTGAGCATATATGACACAAATTTGGCACCCCACAAAATTACAACTAAACGTTTTTTGATTTCGATATCTCTATTTTGTATGTTTTAAATTCATGCAATGCAATATAAATTTGGTTTTATAAGATATAGTATCTTTAAAATCATTAACAATATAATTTATACTTCAAATAAATTATTTATCAAAATATTAATTATTTATTTTTAAGAATCCTTAATGAGGTTCACCATTGGAAGAGAAAAAATTTATGGGGTTCTAAATTTTTAAATAATAAAAAATTATTATTAAAATATTGGTAATAATCCCTCGATGAAGATGCTCTAAGATTTCAAAGAATGTGAGATGTGAGAAACCAAAAATTTTAAGGTTAATTAAACAAAAATAGATAAGATAACTATGACTAACAGTTACTGTCGGGTACGATACGGATTATTTTGTTTTCCTGTTTTAGGTCACTCCTTAAAAAAAATACAGTTATTGTAAAGGTCATCATCATTATAGGCTTTATAGCCTATCGGATCTTGTTAAACATTGTTACACCAAACAGATTTTGATACTCATTGCCTCTTTGGAGAGAGAGAACTATCTATCTGAAAATGTGTTGTGAGGTACATGAGTTTAGACCATGTCCATTGGAAGTTCAGGACAGGTTCTTGGTCCAGTTTCATATGTAATTTGGTAAAAAAAAAGCCCAAATAGTTAAGAACCGCTCCTTAGACTATTTACAATGGAGGTGTTGAAAAATATATTCAACTGTTGAATTGTTACAATGGATGTATTGAAAAATGTGTTACTTTGATGTGGATTAATTGGTGTTGAATAAATTCAACATGTTGAAAAATGAAAGTGGTAGGGACCCAATGCCACATGGACCAAACATATTTACACAAGAAAATCGACTGTTTTCTCTCTTATTTTTATTTCCTTCAGGTTATTTGAGATCAATTATTTTATAGTAAATAATCATTTTTGAAGAAATAAATTTTGTCAAAATTTATCATTTTTTGTACTCTATTAATAGAGATTTGTTTTATTCAATTTGGAAAGAAAAAAAATATATTTTCAAAAATATATTGAAATATAAATTATTTAAGTGGTGGGGTAAGATGCTGAATTTTATTAAACAGAAGCATTGTAGAGATTAAAAATTGAATAAGTGCTGAATTATTAGGTGGAAGAGAGAGAGATGATGATGTGGAGTGTTAAAAGAGAAAAAGTAAGGTGTTGAATATTAAAACCAATGTACATAGTCTTAGCGAAGGGGTTTAAGAACGTACCCGTGCTCGCTTTGTTCCCGTGTCAAGACCACTTGTAATGGGTCTTCTGCGTTTAACTCCTCTAGGAGCTCATCAGCTAGCTCCTCCATAACCTCCACATAGAAAACCTGACCGGCAACCACCAGAACCGGCTTAGCTCTTCACAATTGTTGCATGATTTTGTAGCTTGATGAAAGACAATAGAGAGGTGTAGTAATATATTCTTTTGTGAAAGTAAACCAGAAAATGAATTTGTAGATTAAAACGAGAAACATGAGAAGATGCAACACATTTAACCATCTTTCACAAATTAAAGTTCAAAAGGATCCTACCCGAAGTTATCTTAATGACAGGTTTCTAATACTTTGTTCTGATGAATGTAGACTAAGGCTTTATTGGCAGTGCATATTATAGAGCTGTAGCAGTAAGGAACAGAAGCAGTGACTTATTAAAGCTGGAAGCTATTAGATATTAATTTGATGAATATGATTGGTAAAGCTGTGAGCACTTAAATCTAAAATTACAAAAATAGACATAGTTATATACATGATTCCATCGTGTAATCTAATTGACAAAAAAAGTTCCATGACCAAAACAACTAAAAGAACGTGTAGTTTAAGTTAACAAACTTTGACCCAAAAAACCCAGCAAAATAACACAAGGCGATAACAAAAAGACGTATTCAACATAGATTTCACCATAAAGTAACATGTTTATGAGTAACTTTGTAGTTCTTAAAAAAAAAGAACCATCCAAAACATAAGCAGAAACATTCAAAAAAATAAAACAGCAACAAATTACTTGATTTAAGCAACTAATGAAAAACGTTCCAAATACTTTCCGCAATAGTATTTCGGATTCCTGACATATATGCATCTCCTGTGGGTTCATAACGAGTGTTGTTGAGCTCTTGTTCTTCGTTCACTTCATATTCTTCCATCATTTCGTACTCATCAAAATCATCATCAGGGATGGACGATCCACGTATAAAATTATGAAGAGCCATTGTAGCTACAACAATCTTGCATTGGGTTTGAAGACCATATCTTGCTTCAGTTTTCAGAATTCGCTACTTTGCTTTCCACACACCGAAAGTACGTTCAATCACTGAACGTAAAGATGAATGTTGTTTGTTAAACATCTCGATTGCAGAATTCGGTGGCCCTTCTCTCCACTGATGTGAGTGATACCTTGTTTTCCTATACGGAGCTAAATAACTTTTTCTGTTTGGATATCCAGAATCGACAACAAAATATTTTCCTTCCGGAAATTTTGGAAAGAATACGTCCTCTTGTGCACAATATGTGAGAAATTTTGTATCGTGTACTCTTCCTGGAGTTCCAACATATGCATATATGAATTTCATATCCAAGTTGCAAATGGCCAGAACATTCATCGAGGTGAACTGCTGTCTGGCATTCCAATATCTCTCTTTTTGATCATTTCTAACTCGTATTGGCACATGTGTGCCATCAAGAGCTCCAATGCAACCACTAAAGAAAGGCCAATATCTATTATCACTGACTAAACGATTATTAACCTGTATAAACTCTTCTGGCTGAGGCTTTAAAATATCCTTCGATCAAAGAAGGACAGCATCTAATACTTCCATAAATTTTATGTGTACCGTTTCTTGGCTGCGTTGGAATTTTTTTGCAATTTGTCGTTGTACTTCATCATGTCCAAGTGTCTCTAAAAACATTGCCACAGCCTCTTGTACGGTGCATTCACGTGACTCTTTAAGGTGATAATCATTCTTCAGAGTATCACATAACTTTATAAAGGTTTCTTGATTCATTCGCACGGTTTCATAGCATTCTCTACCAGACCCAGTAATCATTTGCATAGTATGACGGAATCTACGACCTCGATCTGTTCTCATCAATTGCCTTTCACAATATGGATCTTGTCGTTCAGCTTCAACCATTAAGCAAACTACAGCAACCATATTTTGATGATAAACCATTGCTACTTCCTATAATTAAAAAAAAAAAAAACGTATTAGATATATGAAGTTAGATGATCCTTTTGTCTAGAAACTTATGTTAAAAAAGACAGCTAATTCATAATATAATAATAAAAAAAATCTATTAAAGCAAAGGCAAACATAAGTGGAGTTCAATGAATGCCATAAACAACTGAAACTATCGTTCAAACTAAAAAACCCCAAACTAAAATCTATCATCAAAAACTATAGTAGCCTAGTTCTTCTTTCCTGTGATCCTTTCCAGATACTTAATCTTTTGTTGCTCATTCGGTAAAGTCATAAAAATCTGGCGGCTATTCTCGTTTCCAGCTAGGTCATCAAGAGCACTCCAATACAACTCGCCATCAAGATCTAGTGTAGACATCTTTAGCAACTCTTCGGTGCATATGTCGCTGCTAAATGGGTTAAAGGAATCAAACGTTTTCCGACCTGCAGACCAAAACTTCTCTTGATTTTATAAGGTAGTGGATATACGATCCCAATGTTCGGAGTGAGGTCTTTTCCGTGAAGATCTTGATTTGGTAGGTCTCTCTTGAGACTTGCTAGAAACATGTGCTTTTTGTGTCTTTTGATTGACTTCAGACGTACGGACGATGGGTGGTGACATCTCTTCAATTTCTTCTTCTTCAAGTTCTATATCTTGAGGCAATTGACTTGGTCCGTTCTGGTGTTGCCATCCTTCACTTACCGATATTGTAACTTTGCTGTATAAATAATCAAGGAGTGGAATATCACGCAAAGGATATTGGCAAACTTTTGTGGCTTCTGGACAAGCCTGCAACAATAGCAGAAAAACAAATCTATTATGAATGAAATTATGTTTGTAAAAACTTTAAAAAACTTTATATTGTCATTTTCTTAGTGGAATTACCTAATTAGTTGATCCCACCAGTCATTGCTCATGTCTAATTCTCCAAACTCATTGAATCCCAACCCCGTAGCGTTCTTTGTGACACGTCTATAAAGGTCGTACTGTTTTCTTAGATGCTCCAACCGACTTTTAAACTTTTTCCATTGAAAATCGATAGCAAACCATTTAGAAATCCAGCTCGTATGTTTTGTCTTCCCATTTCAGTAAAACATGTACCTCTCCAGTATCCTTTATCTTTCTCACCATTGGCTAACACTAGCATCTCATGACTCATTTCATGAGTCCAAATAAACCTTGGCTAAATCGACCCCCAAATAAAATAACGCCACTTAAAATTTCAAGCAATAGAATAAGCAAACAAAAAGTCAACAGGTACACGTAATTCATACCTTGGTCGTTGGTTGCACATGTTGTTCTTCATTCGACATGTTTTTAAGCTGTTTATAAGATCATAAATAGTATTTATATTAGATATAAATATGAAACTAATCAAAAATTTAAAGGAATAAGAGAAATCCTGAAACTAAAAACAATATGTGCTCTGCGACGTAAAATTTAACCAAGGATGAATCAAAAGTTTTTTCTACTAACCCAGCAATAAGAATAAATATGGTCGTATAAGAAATGAATCAAAAGTTTTTTTCTACTAACCGATGCTGCTTTGCTCCGCGACGTAAAATTTTAGGTTTAGGTTAAGATAAAACTATGTATTAAAGTTAATTCTTAATGGCATATACAGAAAATTAATTAAAAAATTAAGGGTAATACTGAATTTTTAAATTTAAAAGGCTTTATGCTTTGAAAAAGCTCCATCAGAGAGCATTGGGGTATCGAGCATTTAGAAGCCCAAAATGCTCTTCTTTCTGCTTTTGACTTAAATATGATTGGCAGTTTATAAAGCATTATGCTTATTAATATGTTCTGCCAATCAAACCGGCATTGGCTTCTATTGATTCTCATGTTTCTTATCAATTTTTTACTCAGAAAAATGGGGAAGAATTTGTGTAGTTTCTTGAGAAAGAGCTTAACATAACTTAAGTATTGTATGCTTAAAATTAAGAACAAAAATTCATAAAAAAATTATATATATGATTTTAGGTGAACTCTCTCCATCCTACTGCCATATCAGCATCTGAATGGAGGACACCTGTCCTTTCATCAAATTAATAAATCATAAATTTTAAAATAAAAAGTTAAAAACTAATACCACTACTTCTAACTTAACTTTTCTATTTAATGTTTATTTCATATGTATATATGTTCATACCTATTAAGTTACATTAAAATTAAGGCTTTTCACATTCCTAACAAAAATAAATATATATGTACTAACTTGATACTTTTTCTTTCGGCTTATCCTCATCATGAACACCTTTTTCGAAGTTTGTTGTATGAAAGAATGTAAAGATGTAGCGTTCTCTACATTCAAAAATTTGGCGGTTTTTATGGGTCAAATATCATATTATTGTAACTGCATTTTATTGTGAAACATGAAGTATGGAGTGGTTCTTGCAGAATCATGGCAATTGTGATTGTCATAAATATGAGAACATTAAAAATAAGAGGTAATTATATGTTTTCAAGCAATTCAACAAAAAAAAATATGGCTTTTATCTACGTCTTTTTTACTCATATCATGTTTATGATTTCTAGAATAGTAGAATAATTTTCCTACTTACCCTACTTCCAATCCTTTAAAAAAAAAGTTATTTGTTTTACAAAGATATTATTTAAAAAAAAAACCTAATACTAAACAATCAAACAAAAGCCATATATATATATATCAACACAAACATATTTTTTAAATATTATGTGAAACAAAACCCGCGCGTATGCGAGTTACAAGTCTAGTATATATAATATTGCTAAGAACCCCAAAGATGAGTTCTCTAATGTACATGCTCTTATAGTCTCGGCTCGACCGTCTTTTAGCACATACAAATCGAGCAATAGAACATGGTCCTAATTCTTTTTGTTTTTTTTCCTCTACCCAACTATTACCTCACATGTGGCTAGTCGGAGAAATGATCCGAGAACCATCCTCGACCGGTTCGGTATGATTGATTTGGAAAAAATAAAATCATTTTGCTCGGACTCCTTTTGCAAGACTATCTGCCCGGACATTTAGACTTCTAGGAATATAAGATAGAGTGAATTCTGAATAGCTCTCTCGAAGAATACGGAAAGATTCCAGTTCTGTCATAAAGGACGGCCTATCTGATGGAGATCCAGACATGCTCACAAAGTCCGAACAATCGGTCTGAAAATTAACCGAAGTAATTTGTCTCTCTCTCTCAAGCAAACATGACCCATAGGAGGCAATCCATCTCTGCGTGAAGAGCCGAAAGGCTTTTCCGACATCCCTATAGTTCAAAAATCTTATATCTCCTGTCATCCTCCAAACTCCACCCGATGCCGCTAACCGGTCTGTGATTGATCCAAGAAGCATCAATCCGGCATATCGGAATCTGCCAGTCCTCGGGAAGAGATATCGTCTTCGAGTTGGTTCACGATTCTCCAACTTTTTGTTTTCACCTTTGCATGTAGCCAGGTATCTTCTGGGGAAATTTCTTTCCCGTTGAAGATTTTGTTGTTCTTTACTTTCCAATAACCATTAGATCCAAGTATATACATCTTTCTGAGGGATCTGTCATGCCTAACTCTTTCGTTTTCTAAGAGAGAGCTCATATATTTTGATAAATAGATGTATTTTGAGAAGAGATCCGAAGAAACGAAAAGTCGATAATGCCAAACTTATAAAGCCGGAGGACAATAAAAAAAAAATATGTGGTTTATAGACTCTCAAGATCCCACAACGGGGGTAGCACTTGTCCTATTTCTTAAACAAACATTTTATTAAAAAACTTAACTATATATTTATCAATCAGAGAAACTATTTTACTATATTAAACATACCTTGAATAAATACATTTGAACAAGCTTTAAAATAGTTTGAAATGGTTATTATTGAGATTATGTAAAGATTATTGGGTCATTAAGCCTAATCTCTAGAGAATGTGTGAGAAAAGTTGGAAAAAATGTTGGATAATATATAAGGGAATTAGACAAATTATTTTATTGCCAATTCGTTATTAGATATAATATCAAAGGTAGGCTTATTTATCTAAAAATTAATAATATAACTGGACCAGCATGAATCTCTCCAAGTAACTAGTTGGTGTGAGACTGGGAGATGTTGATCATAATTTCCTTGGGGAATAAAGGGATTGGTGTACGAGTGACCTCCCAGTCTTGGGCCACCCAGAAATCGTAGTTGGTGACAAGATGGTGAAGAAAGATTGCAATCTGAAGCCTGGCAAACTCTGCTCCTACACACTGTCGTAATCCACCTCCAAACACCATAAACGACTTTGACCCCTTCACCAGATCTTTCCCCTGTCCACATTTCACAATATATCTGAATGATTAATGATTAGATATTTAAAATGTTACAAAAAAGTTGGAATCAGTATATTTATATATACCTCCCATCTCCATGGATTGAACTCTGATGGGTTCTCATATATTTTAGGATCATAATGAACCACTGAAGGTGCAACCGCCACAATCCAACCCTCCGGGATTGTGTAACCTGTTACTAGTATTCTCCCATTATATTCAGTTCACAAAGTATTTGTGAAATAGTACTATAGAAAGAGTAGTCCACAATATTTGAGTAGTACTTGCCTTGGATTTCGACATCTTTTACAGCCTTTCTGAACATTATAGGACTCAGATTCATCAGTCGAAGACTCTCATTGATCACCTGCATGCGTTCAGCGTATATATTGTTTCTTAAGCTTCCTCATAGTATACATGAAGTTACATATATAAAACGTACCATGTTGGTGAAATTCATGTTATGTTTGTGTTCTTCCCAGCTAACTCCAGCCTTTTTATCTGCTCTGTTTTGAAGGATTGCGTTGTGTTCTCTCTGCAACATTGTTACAAGCGTATTAATTCAAATCTATACTTATTAGTCTTTTCTAGATGAAATAAAAGCTGTCACTATGTGACTTTTCAATGGAATTATCCTATCACAAATTTTACGATGGGATAACGATAAATTTAGAAAATTCATCGCTAATTGTCACTATTACCTGTGTTAGTAACGAATTTTCACTGGATATTTGTTTTAGTTTCAATCCTAATTTACCTGTATATAAAATTACATTATTTAACCATTTTTAATAGGTCCCGAATACATCTAAATAAATTGTAATCATGATTATGCATAACTACAAGTCTTAAAATCTCATATCAAATGATTCATTTTATGTTTTATGTTCAATTTACAAAACTTTCACATAAAAATATATAGATATATATGGATACTTGAGAACTTTTATAAGTTTCATAAAATATATAGATATATATGGATACTTGAGCACTTTTAACTTTCATAAGTTTTAGCAATTTTTTAAGTGTTACGTTTTTAGCCCTTTTTATAAAATGATAATTCTACCCGTCTACAACTTTTCTATGTACTGTACACAAACGTATACGGTAGTAGATTGACAAAATAGTAAAAAACTACGAGAAGTTATTAAACTTTAAACAAGTGTTAAAAACTTATGAAAGTTATGAAAAAAAATTGTTAAAATATGCAAAGCTCTCATAGATATATAACATCTACAATGTTGACAAATAACTATCTAGTATTATGACATTTCTTAACATCATTTTCACCAAAACTTAAATTTTATAAAAAAAGAGTAGAAACTATCATGATCAATTATGCCAAACAACTCATACATACTACAATTTACGCAACTTAAGCAGCTTGTTTAACGATCATAAATTTTCAGATATATAATTGGATTCACGATGATCCGCAAATCCAGCGTTGAGCAGATAGAAACAAAATTTGTCGTTAATCATGTGCTTGTGTATACATATTACCTTCAATTCTGCGAGAACCTTAGGGTTTTGGGCAATGAGTTTCACGATCAAGCAATTGGCTAATGTGGTAGCATCTTTAGCTACGACTAGAAGAGTAAAGATGTGCTGTAAAGCCGAGTTTTCGTCAAAAATGACGTCTTCCAGCAGTGTGTCGAGGAAGTCTCCATGTCTCTCTCCTGACTCTTTCCTTGCAGAGAAAATGTCATTCATCACCTGCATCGCAGCTCTACGTGCCTGGATACAAGAAAATAGAAAATAATACATCAACGGGAATATCTACAAAACAGGAAAAATGTCAAAAAAAAAAAAAATCCTAAACTCTCAAATTTCGACCAAAAAAGCAGCAATATTCTTTATGAACCAAAAATGCTTAAGTTTTGTTAACTGAACCATTTTAAAATCGTTAAAACTAAAATGCCTTGATCAATAAAAAGTTGAGGATTTTTGTTGGTAAATAAAAATTTGGAGATTTGTTGGTAGATAAATAGCTTAGTCAACAAATGAACAAAAGTTGGGGACGGTTCAATCAACAAAAAAATAGCATGTTTTTTGTTCATGAGAAATTTTGTGTTTTGTTTGGCCGAATTTGTAAGCTGATGGATTTTTTATTTCTGAAATTTTTCCCTCTAGAAAACCTAAATACACAAGAAAAATGTACTTGCCATAATGACTTTGTAGAAAGCTTTCCAGGGAGAAAGAGCGCAAAATGATCGAAACCAGTCAAAATTGAAGCCCTTAATATTGTCCATAAGATTTCTTTCTGTCTCTGGTTGGATTTTACTCAGCATCTTCGGGATCAAGATCCCTAATAGCAACTGAAAACGGAACGAACAAGAGTGAGCAGTAACAAATTGAATTGCTCAAAGCAAAAGGCAAAACAAAACAAACAAAAAAATACAAAAAAAATTATGTGCATACGCTCGTGAGTGTGTCTTTAGCATCAAATGTTCCTTGGCTAGCTGCTGACCTAAGAAGCTCGCGGTTGGCATGATTAATATCTCCTATCATATTTCTCTTCAATCCTTCGGAGCCTAGAAGTTGCATAGTGATTTGTTTGGTCCGCTTGTGGAGGTCCCCATGTTTGACTAACAAGCTACCTTTTCCAAAGACCTTACGATAACCGTCCGGATAGCTAGACACGAAAGACTTGTTCTCTTGCCGAAAAATCTCAAAGATCACATCCGGATCCGTCGCAACCACGGTGTTGGATCCAAATATGTTGGTCTTAAACAAAGGCCCGTACCTAAGACGATCACACAAACACGATTTTATTTTTGTTATTATTTTATTTTATTTTTGTTATTATTTCCAAACATACAAGCTAATTTTAAAGAACGAGTTTGAGATCTGACCTTAACATCCTCTTCTTGATAAAGGGTGAGATCTCGTAGAATCCATGAGGCTTAAGAAGTCGATGGTCTCTCCGATAATCGGAAAACCCATCGATCCCGGTGGTAACTTTCCATTAGACTTGGGGTTTGACCATCGGTACCACCATTTGCTGATGGCTATCACCACAAAAGCTATGACACACATGACTATCAAGCTCATTTTGGTTTGCCTTCAAACTGTGAAGAGCCACCGTCCGTTGTAGATCTTTCGTGAGTTGATTTTCTTGTTAAAGGTTTAATGATAATTGATCCTACAACCAAAATAAATTATAAATAAACTACAACTATCGTTCAACTAATTCTTCGGTTAAAGTGAGAAAGTCTTTGTTGACTTGATGAAAAATGACTTGTATATTTATATTTAAAAATAACATGTGATATCGAGCTATTTTTTAAATAGTATTGTCGCTGTTTTACAAAAAAAAGATATAAATATTATATATGACGTGCTTATGATAATATATGACGTGCTATATGACCAAAAAAAAAAAAACATGATTAGTATATTTTTGGAAAGTAGATCTGCCAGGTAACCTATTTTTCCAAATCTACCCATTTACATTAAGAAAGTGCAGGTCAGTTACTTTACCGTGTATAATTTTTTTATATAACTGTGGTTATTTTAGGTTCAAAGACTAATTTCACAAAACTTTGCATTATCGAATAAATATGTGTAATAAAAAAACATAAAAACGATAAATTGAGAAAGTTAAAATTTTTCTTAGTTAGAATTTTAATAAAAAATTTAAAAAATAACATATAAAAAAGGTTATTAAATTTAAAATTAAAAATAAAATATATATGTTGAAAAAATTAAAAATTATCTCTAGATCAAATTTAGATCAAAGAACTTGAAATTTGGATGAAAAAACTAGATAAAATAAGAAATAGAAGAGATTACTAGATTATGAAAGAAAGAAACAAATTATACAAAAATGAAAAAAATTAATAATTTAACTAAAACTCTAAAACATAATAAAATAAGACCCGTGCATAGCACGTGTTATTTCTTAGTATTTAAAAATAACGTGTGATATCGAGCTATATATAAATAGTATTGTCGCTATTTCAAAAAAAAAGAGAGATATAAATAATATAATGACGTGCTTACGATAAAAAAAAAAATCTATACGACGTGCTTAAATATTTTTATGGGGATGAAGAGAAACATGATTAATATATATTTTAAAAAAAATAGACCTACCAGGTAACCGATTTTTCCAAATCTACCTGTTTACATCTAGAAAGTGCAGGTCAGTTATTTAACTGTGTATATTTTTTTTATATATAACTATGGATATTTTAAAGCTTATTTATGCTCAAAGACTAATTCCACGAGATCTTACATCCAGATAAACATTTAGAAATATTTTAAATTTAAAACACGGTTGAGTGGCTAAAGGGACTAGAACCAGAAATCTTTCACTTGAAAGTTACCACTAGATCAAAATAACTTGGTTTAACTGTGTATTATTAAAACAACGTTATTTTGGACTTTTATAAAAACCTAGATAATTTATATTATTATTTGCGAAGTCAAAAATCCTACGTGTCGTTTTCAGAGCGATTTGCTTATATGTCTTATAAAAATTTATATAAGTGTCATTTTCTTTAATTCTAATAGGATAATCATTAATCCTACCGTGTCAATATAGCTGATCTGGTTTTTAAATTCGATTACAGGCCGGGCCATTGAAATAGTTAATGGACCAGTGGTTTACGGTTTAATTCTTGACCATAACCACCAAAACTATTAAATGGACCACCAAACCGAAAGTGTTAAATGGGTCACCAACCAAAATACTTTAAACCCTAAAGTATCTATCATACACTATATATATCGTTAGTCTACATATGTTTTTCACGTACTACACTCATCATTCTCTTAGGTCTGTTTCATCTTCTTAATTTTGTTCAGCAGCGTCTTTTATATCCTTCTTATATTCATAGCTTCTTTTCTTATTCATAGCTTCTTTGTATAGATAGCTACACGTATTGTTATTGTTACTGTCTACTATTTTCATTTCTATTTCATAGCTTCATTCTTTTTGACGAAAATATAAACTAACCCCACCTTCTTTATTTTTTCTTAAACCTAGAGTTCATCCTGCAAAATATAGCTGATTGGCTCAATCTATTAGAATCATATCTTCCAATGGATCTAACAGGTAAATTTAAATAATAATTGTGATTAATTGGTTTTTAAATAGTTTCTTACAATTTTAAACTGATAAAAAATTATTTTGTAAAACTATCATACTCGCATATCTATACTATTATTTGCGAAGTCAAAAATTCTATGTGTCGTCTCCAGAGCGATTTGCTTATGTGTCATTATTAAAAGCTATATTATGTGTCGTTTTAATTTATTTTGATAGGATGATCATTAATCGTACGTGTCAATATGTGTGACATGGTTTTTTTTATCGAGTTTGTTAATGGGCCAGCAGTTTTATTCTCGGTCATAGCCACTTATCAGTCAAATGGGCCACCAACAAAGAAATTCTAAACCCTAAAACATCGGTCCTACACTATATATATACCCTATCGTCTACATATGTTTTTCACTTATAACAACCATCACTGTTTTCTTAGGTCATGTTCCTCTTCTTTATTGTTCATAAACGTCTTTTATATTTTCTTATTTGTAAGGAGACGTTAATTTTGTATAGATAGCTTACTTTCCTAAATTAACTTGCGCTTCTTTGTATAGATAGCTTATTTTCTTATATTTCATCTTTCTATAGATAGCTTAGTTTATTAAATTAACCTTACCTTCTTTGTATAGATAACTAATTTTTTTATATTCGTGTTCGTAAGTATAAATTAACCTGAGCTTCTTTATTGTTTTTTTCTTAAACCTAGAGTTCATCCTGTAAACAATAGTTGATTGGCTCAAAATTTTGGAATCATATCTTCCCATGAATCTAACAGGTGATTATAAATAATAATTGTTGTTAATTAGTTTCTTACAAATTTATATTTACGAACAATAACTGATTATTCATAAATATTTATGAACACAAATATATAAAAAGACGTTTACAAACAATAAAGAAGAGGAACACGTTACATGCATAAGAATGATATGAAGAAGGAGAATGAAGAGATGGCCAAGATAGTTGAAAGTAAACTAAGAGAACATAATAGGGAATAAGAATGACAGAATTTTTTTCTGAACTTCTACAAATTTGTTGCAACTTTTGATCATTTATTATTATTTTACATGTGAAAACGGACGTAATGATCTAATTTCCAATGAGAGCAATGAGACATCGTTTTTGAAAAGTTGTTTATTGTAAAAGTGTTTCATCTGAATTTGATTTTGATTGAATGAAAAAAAATATTTATGAAACCTCCGTTAGAGGTAGCATAACAGAGAAAACAACGATGAAAAAAAACATGTTA